AGCTCCCCTCCTCTTCCCTGCATCTGGCTAGCTGGCTGTGTGGCCCTCAGAGGTGCCACTGCCCTTGCCTCTCTCAGCCCTGCTCCTGGGAGGCAGCAGTGTGGGGTGGTGGGTGGCAGCCCTCAATCCCTGTCTGTCCACATGTACCCTTTCCAAGACCCCTAGTACCTTTCGAAGTACCCCTAGGGGTACACATACCCCCAGTTGACAACCCCTGGTCTAGGCAGTTTGTAGCCAATTGAAGAATAATAATAAGAAAAAACCTTGCAAGTGTTGAGGTATCAGTTGTTATCACCTGGGTAGACTGCAGCTCAAACAGTTACCTTCCATCTCCTTGAGGTCTCCTGCCATTTCATTTTGATTCCGTACTGCATATCTTGCCCAGCACCAATACTGGGGTCACTGTCTCTAAGCTATGTTAGTAGAATGAATTACAATAGTGAGGCTATCTTGGAAGAATAAAGATAATGTATCAATCTTCCTACCCTACTGGCAAGAGACAAGCTTGAGCTTTGGTCATTGTCAGCAGTATGACACTGATGTTTATAGTTGGATAATGCTTTGGTTAAAATCTTTTGTTTTCAGTCATATACAGCTTTGCAAGAATGTGGCCATTTGGACCAACTCTCTCCATGCTTGCGTTCTGCTTCTGGCTGATATGGTTGAAAAAAACCTGTCAGTTTTGGGGGAGTGAGGTCAGAGTGATGCAGAGACATTTTTCTGGCTCTTCTTCCAGAAGGGGCATCAGCCTCCACAGGAGGGGAAATTTGATACTTGCTTTTTCAGAAAGGAGGGTGTGGTCAGTGCCTTTTATTTTTCATGTCTGGTCACTGTGGTAATGCCCTCTAAGAGCTCAGGAAGACCCTTAAGTCAAATTTGCTCATGATTTCTCAGTTCTTTGGCTCTTTCAGCTGGATGAAATGTGTTGTCCATCCTCCCTGTGCCAATACTCATTAGCTCCGAGCAGAATGTTTCAGTAGGGAAGTTGAGGCTACAGTCTAAGCAAAGAAAATTTCTCTACTCTGGTCTTTTATCAGTCACTATTAACCTTTCCAAAACCAGCTATGTAGAGGTGGTGGGGTTATCTAAAAAAATAAATAACTGCAAGGGGCCAGGAAAATCTGGTTCTAAATAGAATGGCACGGACCTGAAATGGCATCTTGGTTTAGGGCAGGGGTGGACAATTATTTGCGCCTGAGGGCCACTTAGGGAGTTTTGGTGAGCTGTCACAGGCTGGATGTTTGATCTTCACTTGTGTAGCTTTTCCTTTGAATCCCTGGTAGTGAGTTACTGTATGTAGATTTCTGCTCAGCATTTGTAAAGGGTGTGTGATGGTTCTGTGGGTTGCGCTGATCTGCCATTCTGTGTTTTTGTTTTTTTTAGGAAGTTCTCCATCAGAGGAAATGGTTGCTCTCCTGGTTCAAGCTGGCCTCTTTGACACTGCTATTTCTCTCTGTCAAACCTTTAAGCTCCCCCTGACTCCTGTTTTTGAAGGACTCTCTTTCAAGTATGTAACAAGTTATTGTGCTCATCCCGCTAAGTAACCGTAGTACTGAAAAAAACTGTGTTATACAGCCTGTGTTCTGTAGCTGGAGGTTTAGGATTAGAACAAGGACCATCCTTGGTCTGTCAGTTCTCACCTCAGTCATAAGGGATTAGTTATTAAGGTTTTGGAAGCAGCTGAGTTTAAGTGGGGGCAGAGGAGAAAAGGGCAACACTATTTCCATGCTCCTGAGACAGAGCGCAAAAAACACCCTCCTAAGTATCCTTCCTTGTATGTGCATTAAGTTGGAATTTTCACCATGAGTCTCTCTTGTATCAAGAGAGGGGCTATAAGGTCTAAATCCAAAAGCAGACCTAGTCTAAGTATGGCTGTGTTCCTCCCCACTTTGAATGATGAGGGTAGTTTGGACTGACTCATGAACTTTGGACTTCCAGGTGTTATGCTGGTGTTGACTGACTGAAGTAGCTGGTCTGTTCTCATGCCATGGCATGCATTGGTTTTCTATTCACCTGGTTCTGGAACCCCTTTTCCAGCTGCCATATGCTATTAGAGAACTCTGACCCTAAAATACCCTGACTGCCTATCTCTTCGCTACAGCAAATGCTGTAGTTTGCAGCTGCAAAGGTTCCTTGCTCCAAGCATTTGCAAGCTTCTCCTAGAGATAATCTCTTCCCCTTGTTGGCACATGCAAGAATGTGTACTTCTTTATATGATCTGGATATGAGCATATCCCATTTGTTAAGTTTAGGATACTTAATCATTAACTTGCATAATTTAAGAGCTGCATGTATGAGTGGTTTCTTACTATTTAATTAATTTAGTATCCTCTGCCTTGCCTATTAAGCTGGTCGCTGGCCTAGTGTATGCTACAAAGTAGCTGGCAGAACTCAAGGTCTGCTGGTAAAATTATGAGTGCTTTCATACCCAAAGCTCCTCTGTAGTGGCAAAATCATCCTTTCTGGTGGCAGAGTTGTAACATTTCTGGTAAGCAGAGAAAAGTCTTCTGTCATCAGTTAGCAGCCAGTAGAAGATCTATGTGAACACTCCCATGTTTTTATTCTGGTTGTTAAGGTCCCATCAGCAGGTGGTGTTTTCCCAGGGTGCACTTCACCCTCAGGTGGCACAGCTTGTGAATGGAGCTGCTAGGAGTACATGGATGTGCATGTGCTACTGTGTCAGAACTCCTGGCAGCAGTAAGTCTAGATGAGACCTATTTCAATTATGGTGGTGTGTGTTTGAGACTATACCCTGACTCTGAAACGCTTTGTGATGTTGGCAGCCATGGGAATAGAGGATGATGGGCTTGACTTTGCACATGGTGAGGATTGTACTATTCCTGATGTTTTGTGTATTCCAGGTGCATCAAACTACAGTTGGGGGGAGAAGCAGTGCAGGCAGAGGCCTGGGATTGGCTGGCTGCAAACCAGCTTACCTCTCTGGTGACCACGAAGGAGTCCAGGTAGTGTACTTTTACATGCTCAAAGTTTGTTTGCGACCCTTTCATATATTCTTGCGATCTACTTTTGGGTCATGACCTACGGGTTGAGAAACACTGATTTAGAGCATAGTGCTGTGCTTAGATACATCTGTTACTTCTTGGCCTTGCATGTAGACATTAAACAGATGTTGTGGGCCTGGCTGCGCCTCCAGTAAAACCATGCAGTAGCACAGGCAGTACAGCCAGTTGAGCTGCTTATTAACAGCTTATTTTGTTGCTTGTTTGTCTTCTACATCTTGTTTCAAGCTCCCCTGAAATTGGGTATTATTGTGCAGTAGCATGTCACAGCACCAACAGTGCTAATATGCTCCTACACAGTAGCATCACTAAAAAGATGCTTGCCGGCACATTTACTTAGTACTTGATTATACAGGTACTACATAAATGTGCAGTAACCGCTACACAGTAGCATCCCGTTGTAGATGCGCACCCACTATCAACTAAATCCCCAGGTGACTTATTTTCTCAAGCTTATTCCACCCAAAGAGCTATGTGGTGCAGCTGTGAATGAAGGTAAAGCCATAGACATCCGGAGTGAAATGTCCAACTCTATCTTGTAGTGCGACTGATGAAGCATGGCGGTTGTTGTCATCCTACCTGGACAGGTACAAGTCCCAGAACCACCTATATTATCACTGTGTAATCAACAAACTCCTATCCCACGGAGTACCATTGCCTACTTGGCTGATCAACAGTTACAAGGTAAAATGCTTTTTCAAGGGAGAGAATGGGGAAGGACAAAGCACTGAGGAAGTTTCATTGTTTCCCATGTGTCTGCTTGAAATGAATATTGTGCTTATGCAACATTATGGAAACTATCCCAGTGTGAAGAAAAAAATAGGAACTACAGCAAGAAGCCAGCCTGACTAAGCATGACCTCTTCAGTGAGGAGAAGCCAAAAAGAAAAAAAAAAGTGGCAATTTGACAATATTTCTAGGGAAGAACATAAGAATATTGCATGGAGATGCTGGGAGAAAATTAGGAACATCAAAGCACAGTCTGAGATGCAACTAGTAAGGGATGTAAAAGACAATAAAAAAGAATTCTACAAGTGTTTTGGCAGTAAGAAGAAAGCCAAGGAAAGTGCAAGTCCTCCGTTGAATGCAAAAGGCAATTTTAGTAACACATTTATGCCACACTGGCTGAAATATTTACTTTTTTACTTTGGCCTTCACAAATAAGATCAGCTACTAGATGACAGGTATAAATGGCAGCAAAGATTGGGCTGCTTTTCTCTGCCCCTGAATAGTGAAAGAACATGGGAGGTGATAGTGCCTCTCTGCTTGGCACTGGTTAGGCCTCATCTCAAGTATTGTGTGCAGTTCTGGGTTCCACATTTGAAAATCTACGTGGAGAAGTTAAGAGGTTCTAGAGCAGGCAGCAAAGATGATAAAATGCTTGGAAAGCAAGTCATAGAAGGGGAGAAGCTGTAGGAGCTTGGCATGTTCAGCTTGTGGAAAAGGCACTTAAGGCGGGGGGCATGATAGCAGTCTTCAAATACTTAAAGTGCTGCCATTAAAAAAGAGGGAAAGCACCTTTTATCTCTTGCTGCAGAGAGGAGGACACAGACCAATAGCTTGAAGTTGCAGCAAAATAAGTTTAAATTGGATATCCGGAAACACTTCTTCACTATAAGAGTAGGGAGGCAGTGGAATAGACTGCTTAAGAAAGTTGTGGATTCTCCATCACTAGCGGTGTTCAAGGAGAGGTTGGACAGCTGCTGGTTGGGGATGATCTAGACATAGCTGTGCCTATGTTCTACTCTGGGTATTTCCCAAACTTCTGGACTTTCCTGGTGTTATTCTCCTTCCCCTCCCTTCTGCTACAAGTCAAGATGTTTTTAAGCCTCCCTTAGAGGTGTTGTTTGCTGGCTACAGCCAAGGCTGGGGATACAGCTCCTGTTGGGACCAAAGCCAAATTGGTTCCTGGTTAGGAGGTCTTGCCCCTCCATTCAGGTTCACACCAATTGTCACATTTGGGGTCAGGAAGGAATTTTCCCCATGGCCAGATTGGTATGGACTGCATGGGGTTTTGCCCCTCTCAGTAGTGGGAGGTGGGGGGTGTGGTCCTCAACCTGGGATCTCTTGGGCATATATTAACAACCTTTTATTGAATCAGGACATTAGCTTTGGAGGGTATAGTAAAGATTTGGAATGACCGCGATAAACTGGAGAAATTGCCCAAAATCAGTCAAATGAAATTCAGTAAGAATGAGTGCAAATCCTACACTTAGGATGGAATAATTACATGCACAAATAAAGGCTAGAGAATGGTTGGCTAGGCTGCAGTACTATAGAGAAGGACCTGGGGGTTGCAGTGAAACATAAGCTAAATATGAACTGCCAGTGTGCCCTTGTTGCCAAAAAAAAAAAAAAAATCATTCTGCGCTGCATTAATAGGAACATCATTTACAAAGCAAGGGAAGTGATTCTTCTGCTGTATTTGACACTGGGGAGGCCTCACCTGGAATACTGTGTCCAGTTTTGTGCTCTACGTTTCAAGAAAAATATGAACAAACTGGAAAGAGCCCAGCAGAGAGCAACAAAAAATTGATCGGAGAATTGGGAAACATGATAGATGAGGAAAGGTCAAAAAAACAAGGATTATTTAGTCTGGAGAAGAGAAGACTGAGGGAGGGACCAGTCTTTAAATACCTTCAGAGTGATTATAAAGAAGATGGTGATCTTTCTTTGTGGCTGTAGGGGACAGGACTAGAAGCAATGGTCTCAAGCTGCAGCAGGGAAATTGGAGGTTGGAAATTAGGAAGAACTTTCTGACTGTGAGAGTGGTCAAGCAGTGAAACAGTTAACCTAGATTAGTTGTGAAATCTTCATCCCTGGAAATTTTCAAGAGTGGATTGGACAGATATTTGATTAGGGTGGTTTAGTCAGGGATGATCCTGCCTTAAGTAGAGGGCTGGACTAGACTACCCCATGTGGTCCTTTTCAGCCCCACTTTCCTATGATCCTGTGATGGGATAACATAATACATCAACACCAGGGCAATGAATTAACCATATTGCAGGCAGTTATAAATCTTGGGCTGCCTGTCTTGAGAGCAATCAGTTTTACAGTTCTGTATGTAATTTCTTAAGTTTTAGAAGCAGCAGATTGAAATCTCAAATTTCATCATGTGGAAATATGTTGACCCATGGTTAGCTTTCAGCACTGGAGCTGAAACTAAATGGTCATTGGTATCAGTCATAGGTTCTGATTTTACTTATGGATCAGACCAGAGGTGCTCAACCTGGCCGTTAGGGCAGATGTGGCCTGTGGTGCTGTGTCATCTGGCCTGTGGGGCTCTCTGTAAGTCTTGAAATTTGGTGTCAAGAGAGTGGCGATGCTGCTTCCCCACCACCAAATTTCTGGACCCATGGGGAGCCCTGGGTATTGTGTGTTGGATTGGGCACCCAATCTCAGTGTGCAGGGCTGGGCAGGGATAGTGTTGGGTCTCAGTGTCCAATTCTGGCATTCTGGGAGAGAGCAGTGCCAAGCCCCTGAACCTGATGACATACAAGACCCTGGAGGGGGTGGTACTAGGCCCCAGGGCCCAGTCCTGACAAATGGGGAGACAAGGAGGGGCGGTGCCAGGCCCTCAGGACCCAATCCCAGTATATTGAGGCAGGAGAGAGTGGTGCAGGCCTCTGGGGACCAATCCTAACATGTGGTGGTGAGGGGGTGATGCTGGGCCCCTGGGATCCAGTTCCAGCATGCAGGGGCTGGAGAAAGTGGTGCCAGACCGCAGGATCTGATTCTGGCACACAGGGGTAAATCTGCAGGGGCCAAAACATTGAGGACCACTGGACCAGATTCTGAAGGGCAAGAGGCCTTCATTTTCCCAGTGTTCACGGATGAGTCTCACCCCACTCCTCTGCACCCAAATTCAGTTTCTCATCCCTCTGCATTCCAGCCAGGTAGTTTCCTCCATGCAGTATGAGTGCAGGCAGAGGAAGAGCACTGAGAGCACAGGAGAAGCAGGCACCCTGGTATCAGTTTTGGCACTGCAGTAGCCTGAAGCAGGAACTGCAGGAAAGCCATGTTCTGTCCTGGAGGCCCTAGTGTGGCGCATGCTTAGTGCAGTCAGAACCTTTAAAGAAGTTTGCTGCTTAACTGTGTGCAAGTCTTTACTGGGCATGTGCAAACTGAGAACTTCACCACATGTGGGTGGGTTTTCCTGGAAACAGCAGCAGACATTTCCTGCTCTAGAATATCCCTCTGCTTGAAAACATTGAGACTTTTTTAGAACTTCTCAGTGATAGAATTTAGAATTCACATTTGAAACATGTTTTTCCCTAATTTTGTTTTTGTAAGTTACTGTTTTGCTTGAGTTGAAACTTTCCAAAACAAATTCAGCCAGAAGCAGATGCTTAGCATGCTGATTTCAGCAGTTAAAAGTTACAAGCAACTAAACAAGGGTCTTTTAATGAAAAGTGTAGGGCAACTACAAGTAGGGATATTTTTGTTGCCTGGCGCTTGTGAGACCATATCCTTCATTTTTAGCATTAACTCAAAGCAGGCCTTTTTTTGTTTTTAAGATTCTCCATCTGCAGTGAAATATTCAGCTAATATTGGCGTGAAAGTGAGGGCTGAGATTGGAAGAGCTTTAATCCTCTGTTTTGCGGAAGTTTCAATGTCAGTTACTGTAGCTGAGAAAACAGGAGATCTGAAACTTGAGCATCCCAGGCTCTTGGGAAAGTTTAGTACTCTTAAATGTCAAAACATAGCTATCCCATGCTTGCAAACTCTAGTTTTCTCTGCATTAATGTTTTAAGCATTATGTTTAGGGTGCTATTATAGTTCACCTGAGTATTTTAATTTTTGGTAAGGAAGAACAGCCCTCCCAAATTGTCAGAAAAGAGGTTAGGTTTCCTGTGGCTCTCATAATTTGCAGTCTACAATCCTCGTGAAATCTCCAGTGGTAAAATGCTGAGCATTGGGCCTATTTTTTATTTTATTTATTTATTGGCAAACAGTAATGAAAATAATGCATTAGTTTTGTGTCCTGCCTCTGAGACTGTAAGTAAAATTGTATCACTTGAAATAAGCACTATATCCATGTGAACAATGCCTCTGAACTGAATGTACCCTAAGGGCTTAAGTTGTCAGGGGCAGGCATAGGTAGCATGTGGAAGGGGGTGGGATAAAGCTGCGGACTGGTCAAGTGAATGCATTGGAAGACTTTTGCAGTTGGAAAAGTGAGCTTCAGGGAGACCTTCTGAAAGAATGCTTTTGGGATGGGCAGTTGTAAAACATTTGAGAAACTGGAGGAGAGACAAGATCCAGCAGGGGCTTGTGTGACTTGCCAGCTGACAGAAAATGTAATCATGGTGGATGAGGCTGGGAAGAGTATAGAGAGGAAGGAGGCGGCAGCAGCAGGAAGAAAGTGATCTTATATGTGGAAGCTAGAGTTTACCTCATTCATGTGGTTAAAGATTAAATCATTACTGATATATAATCCTGGCTGGTGTTGAGGGCTAGGTTTTTAGTCACCCTAATCTGGCTGCTTTAAGCAGGTCAGACATTCCAGCCTGGAAATTCCCTGACTGCAGAGGGTAGAATGGTCTGTGGTTTGGTCACCTTGCAGTTTTCCAGTCCTTCCCCTGGGCAGGGATCCATAGCATTTTGGAGCTCTGGGTGTGAGCTACTTCCAACCTGGCCTGGGTCACTGCAACCTCAGTCATTGCTTCACCACTGCAGTGCTGCAATGGTGGCTTCTTCCTGCTGCCTGGGTGAAGCTTCCAACTCCTCAAATGCTGTCAAAGCCTCTCCCAACTCTATGGGCCATAGATTGCTGACATCTGCCCTAGGGGACAAGGTTGCTTGAAATAACCATGCTAAGGGCCAGATGGGGAAAGGAACCTTAGATTCTCCTCCCCTTGTTCTTGCATCAGCCTTACTGTAGCTGACTTTGAGGCTCTGAACTTGACTTTTATGCAGTGACTTCTAGGGGGTATAGTCACGCCCTTACATGTACCTAGCAAGTAAGCAGAAATACACTCAAGTGTGGCCTATTCTTTCTGTTCACAGAAGGTGGATGCTGCTGAACTGCTTCGTCTGTACTTGAATTATGATCTTCTGGAGGATGCAGTGGATTTGGTGCTGGAATACGTGGACTCCGTCTTGGGAAAGGGCCATGAGTATTTTGGAATTGAGGTAGGGGATATAGTGAAATGTCTCCCTCTGGCAGCCTTTTCAGTGGGGCTTTCCTGATGTCCAAAGCTTCTGGAGGCATAACAGCTCTTAGGCCCTGGGGCCAAAGCTAAGGACTGTCCCTCCAAACTCACATGGATGGACAGTGCCCTGGTACCTACTTCACTGGTTTACCTAATTTCTCTCAGTTTTGAGATGTTCAGGATGCCTACCCAATGGGTGTTTCAGCTTCTCAGTCAGTACCTTCTCTCCAAAGGAGATGAGTAAGGAAGCAGGACAGCAGTGGCCCCATTGCCCACCCCAGCAGGTGCCCATGATGTGAGACCAGAGAATACTGTCTCCTCCTAAGCAATCTAGACTGTTTGGTTTAAGCCAGTTTTAATGGTGCCTTTCACTGTCTGGAGTCACTGATTCTGTAGAACACTTGGACCTGTGGAAAAGATCTTTAAAGGAAGTGGGGTAAATGGTAGAATAATCTCCCTATAGAAAAGATGGAACCTTCCTAATCACCTGAATTCCAGACTGGGCAGGAAAATGTAGGAAGACATTCTGCACTTGTTTCTTGGGGAAATTATCTGATGGGGTTCTTGGCCCTTGCTTGATCCCCTGAAACTAAGGTCCTGTGACTTCCTGCTTGCTCGAGTTAAGAAGAAGGTATTTCTGTAGGGAATACAGACTGGCTTAGAAGTTAATCTTCTCTTTTAGTTTCCTCTGTCAGCCACAGCACCAATGGTATGGCTCCCGTATTCTGCTGTTGACCAGCTGCTGCAGACCTTGGCAGAAAACACAACAAATCATTGCAACATAATGGTAAGAACAACTTCCTGTTGCTGACTACAGAACCAGACGATTCTGCCAAATGAAGACTGAGGCATTTACAAAGGGGGGGGGGGCAGGGAATGGTGTGGGGAGGGTGGGACTGTTTGGAAGGGAGGCTATGAAGACAATGACTGCCAAGGCTCAGACTTTACCTAGAGAAATGCATGCACAGTCAGCAGGAGCACAAATTTAGAGGTGTTGGCAGAGTAGGAATGAGGAAATACTGAGCATATGGGGATCAGCTGGGCTCCTAAAAGGAAATTAGCAAATGAACTCTCCCTTCCAGGGCCTTTGTTCTTGGTCCTTTTCCATCTTCCCAACACCTTCGACATATGGAGGACAGCAGGTTGGCCAACAGATTGTGAGAGGCTTCCCACATAACCAGGACTGCTAAAAAGAAATCAGTCTCTGAATATTACTGACTTAACTCCCAGTGAGCTTTGCACTAAAGCAGAGCTGTTCAACTTCTGAGCAGATGTGGACTTTGCACTGCACAGGCTGTGCAGACTTCCTGTTGGCTCTGCCACCCCACCCCCAGGGATTGGGTCTGGAAGTGAATGCTGGAGGAGCAGATGCAGTGTAGGGCGGTGGGGTGTGAGCCTGAGGACTGCAAATTAATCCCTTGTGAACCCTGAGTTAGGCAGCACTAGACCAAAGAATAATGGAACCAGGAGCAGTGCATCAGATTGGAAATTTGCCAAGAATGAATGTCATAGGCTAGGTGGTTTAACAATTGTTTTTTATGCTCCTTGGGGGAAGAGAGAAGTGAGGGTTGGATACAGTGTAGATTTTACTCTCCAGCAGTGAGCCCCTCAATCTTGCATGTCACTTTGGAAATTTAGAAATTCAAACTTCTACTGTGGAGAGGCTAGAGGGCAGTGGAGGGTGCTATTATTAATGGTGATGTAACAGAGTTGAAGCAGGCATGGGGTTTTAATATATGGCACAGCTGGCAAAAAAGGTTGGCCCCACTGCTGCTTCTGCAGTTCCAGTTTTACCAGAAGTCTTCCTGACTGATGTGAAAGAGGGTTAAATGACCTTTGCTGAAGGGTTCAAAGCTGAAGATCTCTCCAGTAAGAATGGAAACTTGGGTAGAAAATAGCAGGGGATCTGTCCTGGAAAAGCACAGGCAGCTGTGGCATTTGAATGAAGGTTAAAGGCAGGGAGGAACTGCATGAGAATTGCATTGCAACTGGCAGCAAAAGCAAAGAGAGGGGACTGCACTCTCTGGCTCTTGCTTGACCTGCATTCAATTCTCAACACCTTATTGCCAGGAGTGTCATATACCTGAAGAGAGCTCACATGAAAATACCAGGCTGTTGATGGGCTGCACCAGTGGGGGCCAACCTTTTTGGCAGCTGTGACACAAATTAAACCCTGTTCCCACCCAAAGTACCACTCTCTTCCTGATCTGCTGGTCTATTTTCTACTCCCTCCCTGATATGCTGCTCTACTTTCTGCTCCCTGCACTATTTGCTACACTGCCTGTTCCCTCCCTAATTTGCCATATGCCGCACGTAGAGGTTGCCCGTGCCACTTACGGCACTTGTGCTGCAAGTTGACCACCCCTGGGCTGGAGGGAACTCTTTGAAGAACTAATAGCTGAGCAGAGAGAATACTTTTCTTGCTTGCAGGATTTTGTCATCCTCTGGAGCATGGGGGAGTTTGACAGCCATGTAAGCCCAGCTCTCCATGCAGACTGCCAGGAAAGGGTGTTTTTGTTTTGTTTTTGTTGGGGATCAGTTTGTGGCCTTGGATACAATTGCTTTCCTGTAGTAGTTATAGTTAACAGAAGTGCTGACAGGGCAGCTGTGGGAATGGGATATGAAGATCTTGTTGGCTACAAATGTCCAACTCGGGATCCTTAAAAATTCTGGTTTATTAGGCGGATTGAAACACTGTAATGAAGTCAAATCATAAACCATGGGGCTGGTCCCCTCACACACGTGTGCACGTGCGCGCGCACACGCACGCGTGCACAGTAGCGAGCTACAAGAGTCGGGTATACCTATCCCACAAGCACTGGAGTCTGCCGTCGATGGCCAGTCGAGGCTTCTTCCAGCATGGTGTTATCCTCCAGAAGGGGGTCGCCGGCTGGTCCTTCTGGCTGGACAGATCGGGTGCTGGTCAGGTTGGAGATCAAGAGGGCGCTGCTGAGGGTCACTTTTCACTGCCTTTTATCTGTCCTTGGCAGACTTCGGTGACTCCCCAGTTTTCAGGTTTGCCCAATCCAGGGGTTGTTGACCTTCGTGGGACTTCCCCCTCGGTGGCTACTGGATGGCATCTGTCAGCCCCAGGGGTTGTCCTCATGTATGCGCAGGTTTGGGAGTCTGTTGATGAATTTTGAATAGGGCTCTGGGAGCAGTCGATCTGGAGATATTCAGCCCAAAAGTTGGTCCCCGGCATTGATTAACTCAGACCTTGATTAACTCAGACAGGGGCTTCTAGCCCTTGAACAGTGATGTTTAGAGAATTCCTGGTTGCTACATTGTCTCCTATTGATTTCTTCCCTTGGTTGATCTGCGGTTTCAGCAGGTGTTAATTGCTGCTTGTTACTGAAGCCTGCTACTGTTATGCATTCAATGGCTCTTTCAGGGGCCGGCCTGATACAGGGTTTGATTCCTGCCCTTGTTAACATTGTTACAGTGCATAACTTACTAATAAACTAAAACATTTAGTTAAAAGGTGAAGAGTATAAAATATAAGCTACAAGAGGAATGCCATGGCGCACAAATAAATAAAAATACCAAAATACAAGGGGAGATACAAAATGCACACATACAAACTTTAAAACACTATTCCTTATCTCATAGTGAAAGAAAGAGGAAGGAAGAAAAGGTAAAAGAGGAGAAACATATCCAAAGAGGGGAAAGCAAATGCAGGCAAGAGGAAAAGGAGGCTTTCTGCTACAATCTCAGAAGGAAAAATACTTTCAGAGATTTGGAGGTAGAGGCCGTCTTGTCTCAAACACATTAGAGAAGACTTGCACAGGCAGTATCTGAGCCTAAGAAGGGAGTGTGGGAAGAATGATGAGGACACGGCAGGGAAAGCAACTGTTCCATTCCTAGCATGTTTGCTTCCTCTGATGGCTGCTTTTGCTCTTCTCCCCTAGTTATACCAGAAAGTACACGACAAACTGGAGGATTACCACCAGAAGGTTGAAGTTGCAACCCGAGACCTCTTGTACCGTCTAAACTAGCAGCAATCTCATCTGTATGGCCTTTGTACCCACCTGGTGCCTGATGGGGCATGAGACCAAGCCCCCAAGAAATGTTGCCCTAAAGGCTGGTCTGCAGTGGCTATCTGTCATGTGTGAGACCTGATTCTGCATGGCCCTCTTCCTAGGAGCAGGACAGTTGCAATCACCCTCTTCCCTGTCCATGGCTGGTGGTGCTATTAAAGTCTATTTTTCCAAAACAGTACATGCTTCAGAGGTCTGGAACAGTTTTACTTTTAATGTGTCAAATGCATTCTGGATCCCTTTGTAATTGGTTTTCAGTGAAGAAGAGGAAGAAAGTCGATTTTATGATGATCTCACACTCTTCTTTGTAGTAGTGTACATTGGCTAGGAAGATCCTTGTATTATACACAGAAAATAGAGGCTTTTTGTCGTGTCTTTTATTTATTGTGGCATTTTTGGATGATCTTTAATAAAAAAAAAAAGAAAAAATTACAAGCCCAGGTACAAATTTGTGTTGAGTGATTGAAAATTGCAGTTGTGTGAGACCTGCTGACTTCTGGCATGGAGGAGATCTGGCTTAATGTCCCTGAGAGCACCAAGGAAATGGATGAACTCTTGGACTGTGACCACTTCACATCTTGTCAGTCATCTGTTGATGTAGCTTCAAGATAAACTAATGCACCTCTAGCTATAAGGTATTCCCTGGTACAAGAGAATTATTTTAATGTAGCAGCCCCAAGGACCTAGCCTGCCACTAATAACAATTGTAGGTAGGTAGTAAGGTCTTGGGACAGCACATGACTGCCTTTTCATGCTGTTTCTGCAGCACCTGACTGGTTGTTAGGCACTACTGCAAGGCTAGCACATGACATTGCACATAGCTGTGAAAAGAGCCTTTGGCAGCAGTTGGGCTGAGTTAGCTTTGCGGTGAGTCTGTAATGCAGATCACCCTCCTGCCCCCTCAGCTTCCTGGGAGCTGTGCTCTAAAGCTGGGACAGTGTGGGCCTGACTGGCTGGCTACTCCTGGTGAGTACTCCTCTGCAAGAGAGTGCAGAGCCCAAAGGAATTGAAAGGTGAAAAGTTAAGATGCTTTGGACTGAGGGGGCATATTTCCTTCCCCATAGCCAGAGTTGGAAGTGCTGAATTAGAGGTTCAGCTTTTGCTGGTCCATGTGGTGGGCACAAGTTGGGCCAAGTTCTGGCCGAGGAAGGGCGGCTGCCTGCGGAGGTCGTGGATTCTCTGCGTGCCCCGAAACTAAGGGATTCGAGCCTACTTGCAACTGCATCCAACCCCTCTGGCTGGTCACAAGCAGATGCGTGCGAGATGTGGCCAAAGCGGCAGGGCAGAGGCCACCCCCGCCTCCCAACTGCGGAAGCTCCTACAAAATCAGGGCTGGGCGGGGCCTTTGGAGGTCACCTAAGCCAGGCTCTCGCTCGAGGCGGGCTCGTGCCCGTGCCACCCGCCCCGCGCGCCCTAGCCCAAGCTCGCGCTGGCACTAGGCCTCGTGGCCCGGCCCTGCGCTGCTGGAGCCCGGTCAGCCCCGCCCTGCCGCACGCAGCCAGCGCTTTCCTCCCCTCCCCCCCGCAGCAGCCCGGCTAAAGCGGGGAGGGTGCGCTTGCGCAGCAGGCGGAGGGGGTGCCCGACCAGGCTCCGAAGGCCGCGCGTGCCTGGCTCCGCCCCCCACGCCTGGCGTCACGGCTCGGGCGCGCGC